TGATCGTTAAGTTGGTAGCTATTAAGTTATTTCTAGAAAGAGTAGTTTTCTTAAGGAAAGGGAAATTGGAAAATTAAGATTTTTCATAGCGATTGCTGTTTTAATATTCTAGCTTCCCGCGGATCTAACTTTTGGTTTTTATACAAATTTGTAGTCTACTTATTAATTATTTATTGATACGAATTTCTTTCGCAGCAACTGAATATCTACGGTTTCTTGTTGGTTTTCCGAAAATCGTAACGCGGTAACTTATTTAAGAAAATATTATCTGGTCCGTAGGGTGGCGCGCTATCGGTGCGGAACACCGAGGACATTCTGCACTTTTCCATTCGAAATGAGCGTCGTGAATTTTCATGCCCGGAACTCCCGGGAGACCAGTTAACCAAGAACTCCGGGAACAAACGACCGCGTTGAACGATTGGAAACAGAGACGATTCAAGGAGTGGAGAACGAATATCGAGTCGTGACGTGCATCGGAAGTGACTGATTAACCATCGGCAATGATAACATTCGTTGCGCAATATCGCACAGCGAAAAGTGCCTACCCTCGTTTCGCAATATTCATGAGACGAGCGACGCACTGGATGAAATCGTAGACAAGCGATTCAATTCAGGAACTATAAATAACGAACGGTGATTTACTTTCTTCGTTATGGAACACGGAAATTTACATTTTACAATCTTTCTAGATGCGGCGTTCAATACTCGGCGAATTATTCTGTCGCTGTTGTGCAAATACTGGGACGTGTCTCGAGGAGGTTTAAACAGAATCTAATTGTACATGCCAGGTGAAAGGCACAGGTGCGATTTGTAAATCTTATTTCTATTCGACAGATGTTTCATCGAATCGAGGCAAGGTTTCCGATTCGATGAAATAACCATCGACTAAAAATAAAACCTACAAATCTCACTAATGTAAAACATTCAAAACAAACGTAAGAATTTCGGAATTTCACATGAATGATCCTTACTATAATCACAAACTAAAAGAAAAATAGAAACCAAATACATGAAAACACCCCCGAACACAACCCCAAACTAACCTCTTCCCACGAAACAACTCGCACAAAGAACAAAAGAAGATCAATCAAAAATGAAAATTATCAAGCAAACATTCCATTCGTCGCACGAAAATCAAAACGCCGGTACACGCTGTCACCTGACAAAAAGGACACCCACGGTATATCGATTTCCAGCCTCGAATTCACGATCCGCACAGACCGGAGCGCAACTTTTCTGCGGTCCGTTCAACGTAGCGTCTCTATTTTTTTTTTGTTCCTTAGGAAATCGAGGGGATTCGTGGGTGGACAGCGATAGCGGCGGCGCTCTGTCGAAGACAATGGCGCCGCCGGTTTCTATTCCGTTC